GTGATTCTGCTACACGAAAAAGTTAAAGAAAACTGCTCTCTCCACGGTGTCTGATAAGTCTGGCTATGCTGTGGGTATTTCACTTTCCATGTTCCTCGAACTATCAAGAGTACCATTCACCAACCCACCAAATATGATTCTGCATTAAAAAAGGAAACAACAAAGACACAAAAATCCTTCAAATTCTTGAACTACTAATGTAACTACTAATGTACCCTCTCACAGTTTTTCTTTGTCCTTTCCGTCTTGTCGATGTAGACATAGAGCACTTTCTCCTTCTGAGCCTACTTATGATATCTAAGTACAGTGTGCCCTTAACTCATAAACTCAATAGGTTTCCGAGGGCGGGTTGTAACGCCAGTTGGATGTAAGCCAATACAGCTGAGATCTGGATGTTTACTTGTGTACATGCTATAGATAACAAGGGGCAGGCGAATCTCCCATTAACCTAATGAACCCAAGTTGTTTGTACGTCAGGCCGGTCATAATGTGAAGGTCCGCTGTAATTTCCCATCTCCTACTTTCCTAAACACTTCAGTAGACCTGTCATCCTATCTCATACTTTCAATCTCTCCCTGCTTCAGTCTTTCATCTATTACCATTTAAACATATATACAAACTTCTTTCATCTTCAGAAGACAATTCTTCCCTATTTCACAAATCAAACACCTCCAGCCACATCCCTAATCACCACCTCTTCTCAGCTAAACTTCTTGCTAATGTCTATGCTGCCCAATCTATTTAATTTCTCCCTTCCTATTTAGCTGAGGCTACTCTCTAACTTACCCATGTCCATTGTTCCACATATATTTTCCTAGTCCAAACTTAGTCTGTGCTCCAAACCACATAACTGTCTGGAGAGCATTTCTACTCAACAGCCACACAAGTACCTCATCATCTACAGCTTCCAAGTTAATTTGCTTCTTCTGCTTAACTTTCCCAGGTGAAAGGCATCGTTTGCTAGTTACCCAATCCAGAAACTCAGGTGTTATCTTTGACTTCTTCTCCTTTCTATATTGTTAACTATTTCTTATGTTTCACACCTGGATTGCAGCAACAGCCTCCTAACTGACCGTTCTGCCTTCTAATCCATAATGATAAAATGGAGGAAAAGATCGCAGTTATAATGTTTCTAAATTACGTTCTAAATATTTGCTATCATTTAGTTGAAATTAAAGTTCCTGGAAACCAAGGCAAAAAAGAGGAGAAACTAATTTTCATACTCCTTGATGTCTGTTGTGAAGCTAATGATTTGCTCTAAACCAAATTTCCCAGGAGGAGATTTATACAGGAAGCAGCAAGCGAACGTAATGGACAATGTCCTCCACCACACATATCATGTGATTTTATTTGGCAAGTATTTATGGGCCAGTGGTGAGCCAGGCACTGTGCTCTCCACTGGGAATTAAACAGTGAATATTGTTATTTCTTATCTAATCTCAGGATTAAGATTTGCATAATATTAAATGTAACTCTCTGAAGACAGGTTGGTGAGAGGAGGGCTTGTATTTCAAGATATCCCTGCCTGGGGGCCGGAGATTTAGCTCAGTGGTTCCACTGCCTGATTTGTAAGCGCAAGGCCCTGAGTTCAATCCCTGGGTACAAAGTAAAAGTATCCCTGACTGGTGGTACAATCAGGGTCAGAATAAGTTGAAGTATTCTTCCTCCTCCTGTTGTCTCCATCTCCAGAGTATTATTTCAGGACTTCCCAGCTTTCTTTTTAAACTGAAGCTCACCATCACTACCATGTAGTATGTACATGAAAAATACAGGATGCCCAAGAGTTGTTTCACATATGCGGACAAAGAGCATGTTCCTTCAGATATGGAATCTGTCATTTTCCCAGACTTGCCTGCTCTGGCTTTCTACAGAGATTTACTGCCAACACATCCCCCACACCCTGGCAGGACAAGCTGTGATTGCTCATACAGGCCAAAGAGGAAGTTCACTGTTTAGCCACCCGGGAAGGCTCACTTAAGATTCTGACCACTGAAGAAAAGACGTGGGGCCATGGAAATGTTTGATACGCCTTTACCATCTCAGTGGCATGGGACTCAGTTCCACTCCCTTAGACACAATATCACACAAAGCCAGCAAATTCCTCCACAGTTATATAGTACAGGCTACTTGTTTACAGGAGTTGCAAATGTTCTTTCTCCCCATATATGTAACTCAGTACGGAACGTGCTGACTCACTGGCAAAAATCCTGAGCTCAGTTATCTTGGGTGTCTTGATCACATCCTCACCGAGCTGCTGCCTCTCTGCCAACAGTAGCCCAAGGGTAGACTGAGGTCGCCTTATCTACTATTGTAGAAAGGTTTTGGCACCCAGACATCTATATTGCATTGCCTCTGATGGGGCTCTGATGTGCTAAAGATTACCAAGACTGCTGAAGCCGCCCCAGTATCAGGGCCTTTCTGCCCCAAACTGTACCTTGTCTTTGAAAAGCTCTTAACTATTGGGTTTATATCTCATTGCACAGGCTCCAAAACTATATTGTCTGATGCTCCCAATGCCTTACGGAGTTTGTAGTATATCAGCGTTTTAGGCTGTTTGTGCTGCCCTAACAAAATACCATTGGCTGGGTGGCGTAAACAACAGAAATCTATCTACTTACAGAGCTGGAAGCTGGAAGTCTGCAGGCAGTGTGGTCAGGCGCTGGTAAGGGTCCTCTCCCTGGTTTGCAGATGCCCACCTTCCCCCAACATGCTTACAGTGGCCTTTCCTCAGTGCACGGGTGAGGCAAGAGCGCTCTCTTTCTCTTCATGCAAAACTACCAATCCTATTGGATTAGGATCCCACACTTCTGGCCTCATTTAACTTTAATTATCTAATATAGTTACAGCGGTTAAGGTTTTAATATGTGAATGGGGTTAGGTGACGGAGTCCATGGAGAAACAGGATTCAGTTTTTAATCATGTCAGGACACACCAAAAGACTGAAAAGTGCATCCATGGCTGGCACATGGAGAAAAGCAGAGACAACATGCAATGTTCCAAAAGAACTCCCCGCTCCCCACTGGAGCACATTTAGAATCTTCCAGTTTGAGAAGGAAGTTTAGATTCAGGTGTGTAGCATGCTGACTCTATACACAAGTCGTCTTCACTTCTGTCCCAGTTTCACCCAAGGATATGACTGAGAATGGTTAAAGAAATGGTTCAAAGTCATATATTTAGACTCTTCTCATAACTAACTGCCTCTTCTCACAACTTGTCATTTACCTTGCAATGATCTCACACACACATTTCTAGATTGCATCTTGTTGCAAAGATCTGGGAATACGGATTTGGGACACCTGTGTATTCAACAGGGAACAGCCCAAAAAGCAGTAAGTATGACTAGGTTCTTAGTCACTGAGACACCTTGAGCAAGGTCTGGACTGTTTCCACAACAAACACGTATTCTGGATTTAAGTAAACATGCCAGAGAACATAAAGTTCCATGTGATTAAGAGGATTAGGCCTGAGAATTTTCTTCAACATCAAAGGTGGAGAGGGGGTAGTAAATGTAAACTAAATATAAAGATCAAGGGCCAAGTTTCGCAAATGCTAACCACTTAGGTGTTGCGGAATTCTAAAGAACAAGAGACCAAATGGGAATGAGGAGGATTTTATCAGGCGTGTATACCTGATCCAGCCGAACTCACGTCCAAAATTCTTGTGTCTAAAGTGCTGGGCGATTGAACAAAGGAAAGCTCCATTTTAATACATTTAGTCGAGAGGGGGCAGTGGTGGTGGTCTTTTTAGTGACACAGTGGTGAGTTTACAAGAACAGGACATTAGCAGACAGTTTAGTAATTTAGCCTTATGAATCGTATGGGAACAGTGTCATGAACTTTGTTTACTGAACATAGTTATTTACAGAGACTATAGCTCCTCTGGGAGTTACAAAACTGTATTTACAGGAATATGACTGTCTACCTTACAGGTACCAGGAGGGAAAAGGAGGGGTGGAACCTGAGCGGGAGCTGCTAGACTGATTTCAACTAGGAGAACTGATTTCTTTTAAGTTCTGTTTCATAGGTAGTAGGTGTCTGGGCTCTTGGTTTCAGTAACCCCGCTTCCAGGACTTTGAGAAAGCTTTCTACGTGTAAAACTAGAATCAAACTACGCAACCTCCACCATCCAGTTCTACTCCTAATCTGCCCTTCCCTGACAAACCTGCGGGTCGCCCTGTCTAACAGTACCTACCCAGCCCCTCGCGGACACCCACGACTGGGAGACTGGAAGGAGGGTTCTCGGGGCCAGGCCAGGCTGCGCTGGGGGCCTTACAGCCTACGGGGTGTACGCCTCCTGCGCGCAACCTTATGGGAGTTGTAGTTCTCAGAGTTCCCGGCCTGTGGGAAGCCAGTCAACGCGGGACTCCTTTCCCGAGCTCCTCTGTGCTAGTCCCTTTGGACCGGTTCTGAGAGGAGAGGTGGGTTGGAATTTATAGAACTTCGATTAAGGAGTTCTGTGCCAGAGGAGCTTCCGGTCCGAGGAACGCAGGGCTGCTTCCAGCCTTCTCTAGAGTACTGACGGCCAAATCTGAAGTGCGAGTTTAAGGTTCCTCTGAGGGCAAAAGATGAGGAACTGAGCTCCCCGAGGCCCAAGTGTGCGACGGAAGCGGCCAGCCCTGTCCAGGGCGAAAACTCCCAGGGAGGCTTTGAACTCCCACCTCCGCTTCTTCCCCGCGCTCCCTCTCTGGGTCAACGTAGTTTGGGAGTTGCTGCGGTCCGCGCTCGTTCCGGGCGAGGGCTGTGGTTTGCCACCGGTTCCCGCGAGCTTGGGGGCCGCCCCAGCCCCAGGG